CGATCGAGTCTCATCCGGCTTTGCGCGAGCAGGGATGGTTGCAGCATCAGTCGAACCCATATGCCAAGCGCTTCGCGTCCGACGTCCTGGCCCTGGTTCAGAAGTCTGAGGCCGAGCTCTTGGAGTCCTGGCTCTTCACTGGTCCCTCGTCGGACCCCGCTCTTAGGCTATGCGTGCGGGCGTTGTTCATGGATGGGGATCTTCGGGAGCAGTTCTTGGCGCTCGATCCTGGGATCCTCAGAGCCGCTACGCTTACCGTCACTATTCCTCCTCCTGTGGGTCTGTATGGTCCTCCCGTACCTCCAGAGGCTCCTGAAGGTGATCTTGAGGTCCCCCCACCACCAGCAGCTATCTGGGAGTGTACGTTGCCGAACTCAGAGGGGGTCCCATGTGGCAGGATATTTACTACTCGTCGTGCTATGCTAGCTCATCAACGATTTGCTAAAGGAGGCGGGCACTCTTGTCGTTCGGTCGTGCACACTTTGATTGTGACCAACGGGTGCGTGTTTTGCAGGCAGGGGTTCAGAACCAGACGTATTGCCCAGGAGCACGCTGTACAAGCCGTCCTTAAGGGTCGTTGTCCTCCGTTGACCACGCCTTTCCATCACAGTGTCCTGGAGCCAGAGAGTCTGTCGTGTCCCCTGTCCGAGTTGACGCTGGCTTGTGTTTCTGGCCCGATGCATCCCCAGGCCAGCACGGAGTATTGTTGTAACTGTGCGGAGCCGTTTGAGGATCGAGCTGCTCTCAATCTTCACCTGCGTCGACACGCGCCTCGAGTGCCGATCACCTGCGCGAGTTCAGATGTACCGCCTGGGGGCAGCGCAGCTGGCGGCGGCAGGAGCTCCACGCTCGAGGTCGCACGGCGGCGGGCGGGGCTCTCGCAGGGGCCGCTCTGGCTCGGCAGTGCATTCCCAGCAGCGTGGAGGTCGTCGGCGGCAGGGCAGGCAGGCCGAGCCCGCCAGCGCGGCTCCTGTGCGGCGCGGACCTCGCCAGCTCCAGGCTGCGCCCCCCGCCCACGGTGGGGGGCCTCCCGCAGATGCGCGCGCGAAGGTCGGCCGGGCGTACGGGCTGCCAGCCGATGCCATAGACAAACTTCCACCTATGGATGTTCAGATGTGCGCCAAGCTCATGCTGATACTCACGAGGGCGGTCCTGGGCAACTCCTTCAACATCCGCCTCCTGCTGGCGGCCGAGTTCGTGGCGATCACGATGGACGAGGAGGCGGACCTGATCAAGGCGGGCTTCACTGCTGGCCGCGCGTACGCAGTCGAGGCGACGAGGATGCGCGAGGCTCACCAGCAGGACCCGAAGAACAACGAGCTGCCCGAGGTGACAATGGGGCCAGCATGCGCGCAGGTGTTCACGGTGGTGGCGCGCAAGCTCACAGACGCAGGCGAGAAGGTTGGAGCCAGGAGCGCGAAGGCCTGGGCGGAGCAGCAGGTGAAGCTAGACGGCCTCAGCCAGATCGCGGACATGACCTGCCTGGTCAAGGGGTTCCGCGTGAGCAGTGCGTTTCGAGAGGGCCTGGCGAAGATGGTGTTCAGCCTAGCGGATCCACAGATGCAGCGCGTCTTCCAGGAGTGCGTGGAGCAGCTCGGAGGGGAAGTGCGCCCAGACATGGCCCCAAGGTCACACGCCGAGAGGTTGCTGCAGCTAGCGTTGGACGAGATGGAGCTGTGACCGCGAGTGGCGTTAGAGCGCCTGGCGTCAGTTCGCAAGACCCAGGCTTGGCTCCCTGGGCTACGTCGCCGAGTTTTGAAGGCAGCCGAACGCGTCAGGTCGCAAGTCCCAGAGGTAGCCGCCTGGGCAATGTCGTCGCCACATCAACGTCGCCATTTTTGCAGGATGAGATGGACGTCGTACACGGCGAAGGAGAGTCGATGCACTGCAGTTCTCAGGATGAGCAGGGCATCGTGAGGAGGGAGGCAGTGCAATATCTCCTATCGGCAGCCTCACGTGTGCAGTTGAGGGCGGCGTCTCCGATTGAGCTGGCGGCATCACAGAGAGCCAGGCCTGCTTCAGTGTCGCCGTCGGGATCGAGGGCGCCGAGGGGTTCAGTGGCGTTGCCGACACCACAGAGTGCAAGTTTGAGTTCGCAGAGTCAGGCCCGACGGAGCGGGACGACCGCGGCGAGGAGGATTGCTGGGTCGTCTGAGTACGGGGGCTCCGTGAGGCCTGACTTCCAGGAGGCAGCCCGTGGCGCTGCCGCCGCTGCTGTCTCTTCTCCCCCTCCTCCTTGTCCTTCGAGCATCCCTCCTCGCACGTCCTCGACTCTCAGCGTCAAGAGCCTGGTCGAGGGCTCAGTGAGGCCTGACTTCCAGGAGGCAGCCCGTGGCGCAGATGCCGCTGCTGTCTCTTCCCCCCCTCCTCCTCGTCCTTCGAGCCTCCCTCCTCGCCCGTCCTCGACTCCTAGCTTCAAGAGCCTGGTCGCTTACGCGACCCGTTTTTGATTTCTGGGCTGCTTTGTTTCTGGCCTC